TCTCTCTCGGTCTGTCTCTCTCTCTCTGTCTGTCTCTCTCTGTCTGTCTGTCTCTCGTCCGCAGTGCCCGCCGGGCCGTACCCCCCACCCCTGCAGCAGGTGTTCCAGGCGCCCCGCAGGCCGGGCATGGGCACCGTCGGCAAACCCATCAAGCTGCTTGCCAACTACTTTGAGGTGGAAATCCCAAAAATGGATGTGTACCACTATGAAGTGGACATCAAACCTGATAAGTGTCCTCGACGGGTCAACAGGTAAATCTCAAATGTCCACAATCATTCCTAGGGCTGTCACCTATTTATATGACACACATATATGTGACCCTGGAGCACAAAAGCAGTCGCTGGGGTATATTTGTAGCAATAGCCAAAAATACATTGTATGGGTCAAAATTAATCGATTTTTCTTTTATGCCAAAAATCATTAGGATATTAAGTAAAGATCATGTTCCATGAAGATATTTTGTAAATTTCCTACTGTAAATATATCAAAACTTAATTTTTGATTAGTAATATGCATTGCTAAGAACTTCATTTGGACAACTTTAAAGGCGATTTTCTCAATATTTAGATTTTTTTGCACCCTCAGATTCCAGATATTCAAATAGTTGTATCTCGGCCAATTATTGTCATATCCTAACAAACCATACATCAATGAAAAGCTTATTTATTCAGCTTTCAGAACATGTATATATCTCAATTAAAACAAATTTGACCTCTCTCTCGGTCTGTCTCTCTCTCTCTGTCTGTCTCTCTCTGTCTGTCTGTCTCTCGTCCGCAGTGCCCATCGGGCCGTACCCCCCACCCCTGCAGCAGGTGTTCCAGGCGCCCCGCAGGCCGGGCATGGGCACCGTCGGCAAACCCATCAAGCTGCTCGCCAACTACTTTGAGGTGGAAATCCCAAAAATGGATGTGTACCACTATGAAGTGGACATCAAACCTGATAAGTGTCCTCGACGGGTCAACAGGTAAACGTCCCTTCATCTCAAACGTCCACAGTCGCTCCTAGGGATATATATATATATATATATATATACACACATTAATAAATGATTAAATTAATTAATTAATAAGCATACAAATTAATTGTCTTATAAAGTAATTTTTCCACATTGAATTTGGAATCAGAGGTATAGAATCACATGGAAAAAAAATTTGTTCGACTTTAGTCTACAGTCTTAGTTATAATTGTCTGTCTCTACTTATCAGACTGGGATAGAATAAAGTTTTTGTGTATTGAAATAAAGCCGAAATAAATTATAAATAATAGATTAAAAACTTAAATTAAAATTAGAAATGATGCCTTGGCAACTAAGTGAAATAAAGAAGTTTAAGTACTAAACTTAAACTACTAAAACTGCTAACTGAAATAAATATAAAAATTATATATATATATATATATAAGGCATGGGCCGGTATGAGATTTTGACGGTATGATAACCTTAAGCAAAAATATCACGGTGTTGTCGTTACAGCTCTAAAATGTGTTATTTTTATATGACTGAGTAAAAAAAACAAAACTTTTTTTCCGCTGAACACAATATATTTTGTTTTTGAGCAACGCAGAATATTAGGAACAGTAGAATTTGTTTATTTTTTCTTTGATTTGTTTCCTAAAAAGAAGAAAAATAAAGACTGACATCTTTATTTAACCTAAATCTGTAATTACAGTTATTTAATTTTAGTTATATAATTCATATACATATAATTTGATTTAATAATAACCCAATTTGAAGCAAAAACAGAATGTTCTGACTAGCTTTGTGAAATTATACTACATGCCTGAACGTAGCAAACAGCAGAAGCTCTGAATAAGACGCAGATTCTCTCTCTGACAGCAGGAGGCGCTCATGGAACAGCAGATACAGCGTTTCCTTGGTTACCGCAGTAAACTAAGCAGCTGCGCTGAAACACTGCTTTAATATAAACTATACAGAGACCAGATGAAAAGAAAATACCACGTTAACTTTTCTGAAGACGTCAGAAACACATTCATATAAACCCCCAAATCAATATTGAGGATTTTCTTCCAATAGTTCGTGCATCATGAACAGTGAGTGATCTGCCTGCTGCAGTATTTTTCTCTGTGCGCCCGTCTTCAGCATCTCTGGCCTGTGTTAACGGTCGTTTACAGACTTCATATTTTCACATAAATTACATTTTGGAAAACGACTGCATTGCAACGCAGTTTGTGCAAGTCCAGAACAGAGACGAGCTGCAATAAGACAAAAAACGTCCGGTTGCTGATCGCGTAACCTCCAGGGGAAGCTCCTTAAGTTCGTCCGTCCTACACACACGTGACTGACCGCTCGCTCGCTCGCACCAACAGCAGGAGGCTCGTGTTACTCTCTACACTGACTCAACCTGAGGGATTCCTACACTTTCAGTCTTTGAGGAGACATGAAAAACAGCGCATACCGCAGGAACGGTATAACGGAAAATATTAGCGGTCTTGAAACCGTGACATATTCAAATCGCGGTATATCTTGAAAACCGGTAATCGGCCCATGCCTAATATATACAGTATATACATTTATTATATACATTTATTTTATCTTGTTGTGTATATATACACACAAATAAGCTTAATAAAATTATTTTAAAAATGGCAAAAACACATTAGAAAATTACAAAAAATGTAAAACATGAAAATATATAAATAAAAGCTAATTAATTTTTTTCCACATTGAATTTGGAATCAGAGGTAGAATTGGATTCAAAAGTCTTTTTTGTTCCACTTTATGTTATAGTCTTTTTTGTTTTTGTTTATTGAAATGAAGCTGAAAAAATAAATATAAATGTTAGATGGAAAAACATATTAAAAAAAAATTAGAAATGTTACTTTAGTAACTAATTGAAATAAATAAGGTTTAAGTTGAAGTACTAAAATTACTAAAACTGAACACAATAAAATGTATAGCTAAATAGAAAAATACAAAATGATAAAATGACAGGCACATAGCAAAATTAAAATCATAGGTAGAATGAAATGAAAAATACTATTTTTGTTCCACTTCAGTCCAATTTGCATTCCCACTGTCAAGAAAACAAAAGACATTAATGTCAAGTAACTTGAAATTCAGACTGAATTGGCTTTTTCTTAGCCAACAAAATATTTCCAGGAGAACACAAAGCATCAGGTTTAGATCAAATAATTGATTATGCAATAATTCTGTCAGGCCTGGTCTTTCCTCAACATGAGTTGAGGTAAAGTTTCCCCTATTATTAGCTCTTTCTCTAAAAACATTGAGGTCAGTAGAATCAAACCCTGCAGATTTGCATGGCTCGGTGTGGCAAGGCCTAAAATATTTTAGTTACCGCAATTACATAAAGCGTGACCTAGAAAGAAACCTCCTCACGCTGTTCTTCCCTGAGAAGGTTTGAGGATAAAATCTTCCTGTAGACATGCACAGGCAACACTTGAATTCTGTTCATCCCATAACTGTATTTTAGTTCAACTAAGCTGTCTGCCTTCTGAGTTAAATACAACTTAAGCCTGGTTTATTCTTGACGTGTCTGCACAAGCGTGAGGATGAGTGTGAAAGTGACGCCATCGTGCCGTCACCACTGCATGGGCGCGTTTGAGCCAGAATCTGAGCACAGATAATGGCACTACAATCCCATCAGACCCTTAAATATTAAAAACACTTTTTGAGGCAGAAAAGGATGCAAATAATGTAAAAAAAGTTTTCACCTACACAGTGAAATTGTCTGTTACAGCTCGTCAGTTGTTGTTTATATATAGACACACATAAGTATGTAGTGTATACTTTTTCATTGCCTTTTGTTCACAAATGTGACCCTGGACCACAAAACCAGTCATAAGGGTCAATTTTTCAAAATTGAGATTTATACATTATCTGAAAGCTGAATAAATAAGCTTGAATAAATAATATTGTCTTGTTATGATAAGACAATATTTGGCCGAGATACAGCTATTTGAAAATCTGGAATCTGAGGGTGCAAACAAATCCAAATATTGAGAAAATCGCCTTTAAAATTGTCCAAATGAAGTTCATAGCAATGCATATTACTAATCAAAAATTAAGTTTTGTCTTAAAATTGTCCAAATGAAGTTCATAGCAATGCATATTACTAATCAAAAATTAAGTTTTGATATATTTACAGTAGGAAATTTACAAAATATCTTCATGGAACATGATCTTTACTTAATATCCTAATGATTTTTGGCATAAAAGAAAAATCTATAATTTTGACCCATACAGTGTATTTTTGGCTATTGCTACAAATATACCCCAGCGACTGCTTTTGTGCTCCAGGGTCACATTTATTCTTCCACCAGTAATTAAATGCAGGTTTAAAATGTAGGTTTTATTCATTTAAAATAAATATAAAATAAATAAAAGTATTAAAGTAATAATTTAAAACTATGTAATACATTAATAATATGAATAAAAATACAATGATTATTATTATAATTATTATTACACCTATTAGTATTTAACATAACCAGTAAAAATGTTGCAGTCAGTTAAATTTTTTAAATTAATTTCTTTCTAGATTTTTTAATTGATACTTTTATTCAGCAATGACACATTCAATTGTTCAAAAGTGACAGTAAATACATTTATAAAAAATTTATAATTTACAAAAGATATCTCTTTCAAATAAATGCTGTTCTTTTGAACTTTCCACAAAAATATGAAGCAGCACAACTGTTTTCTAATAATCAGTAATGTTTCTTGAGCAGCAAATCAGCATATTAGAATGATTTCAGAAGGATTCAAGATTTTTATTTTTGGAGTAATGATGCTGAAAATACAGCTTTGATCACAGAAATAAATTACAATCTCTTTCAAATAAATGCTGTTCTTTTGAACTTTCCACAAAAATATGAAGCAGCACAACTGTTTTCTAATAATCAGTAATGTTTCTTGAGCAGCAAATCAGCATATTAGAATGATTTCAGAAGGATTCAAGATTTTTATTTTTTTTTTTTGTCACATACACAGTTTTATAGAGAATATATAACCAGCAGTGCAATGTAAAATGTGTCATGTGACACTGAAGACTGGAGTAATGATGCTGAAAATTCAGCTTTGATCACAGCAATAAATTACATTTTGCAATATTTTTTAAATAGAAAACAGTTATTTTAAATTGTAATACAATATTTGTTTTTTACTGTATTTTTCATTAAATAAATTCAGCCTATGTTCAGTTAGCCAGTCATCATCACAAAATAATGTTTAGATCAGGTTTGCTGAATATGTCAGTCACAATGAACTATATGCGCGGTTACTTCCTGGTTTTAGAGAAACCAGCTCAGTCATTTCCGGTATACTATATACTACATACTGTATACTGTTTCAGGAATGACAAATGCAAGTGTAAAAAATTATGCGAGTGAATCCGCTAAATTGTTCCGCGAGCCATTGCTATGATTGACAGTGATAACTGTAGCAACGGATGGAAGGAACTATCTGACAAGCCGATGTCGAAAATAAACCTGTGCATAAGATAAATTAAATATAAAATGTTTCAAAATATTTAATGCATTATTATTTAATTGTTATACCATTTATAATTAACTTATTTATTTTGTAGTTAACTAGTTAAGTATTTAAATAATTTACCCTTTTAGGTGCTTCTTGGTGTCTGGGATTAATTATTTATTTATTTTTTAAATGACATGAGACTTTGTGACTTCCTGCACTTGCTATACTTTATACTTCAGTACAGTAAAAGCACTAAAATGTGTTACAAAAGTCATTTTAGAATAAATCCAAAAGCAAGACGTGAAAAAACTAGGTAGTTGAAATGGCAACTGAGCTGATGAGCGATCCTGTGCTGCCATCTACTGGTTATAATGCTAAATTCATGTCATTTTCATACTTAAAAAGTCTTTGTTTTCAATCAGAAGACACATTTTTGGCACGTTTGTTCATGTGATCTTCATGAATGAAAAGTGAATCTTTAAAGTGAATTTCACTGCACAACTGTAACTAATCTCACTCCAGCTCCACTCCAAAGCTGGCAACCCTGTGTACATATTCAGTTATAATCATGACTATGAAGGTAAGCTATCGATTATCAAGAATACCATTATGATGTCGTTTACGAGAGAGCATCACTAGCTAGCTAACGTTAGCTTAAACAGTTGCGCTAGTGTTTAGTTGTAAGCATTTAAATGTACAGTTACGTGTCTGGGTACTATATGGGATTACCATATAAAATGCTATGTTGTTAAATAACATGAAACTGTGTGTTAATGCCGCTTTCATCATTTACGGTGTTGCAATTATTTTGTTTCTCAGTTTCTGAAAAGAGCGAGGCAGGAGAGGCTTCTGTGAGGGTCTCAAGAGTCTCTACCTACAGTATATATACCACAACATCAATTGACGCTTCACTGGAAGTTTCCGAGCTGCCTTATCTTAATGCAGAAGAGCACTAAAGAAAGTGCATATGGTCCATTGTCTCCTAAATGTGACTCTTCGCAGGGAGGTTGTGGAGTACATGGTCCAGCATTACAAACCGCAGCTCTTTGGTGACCGAAAGCCAGTGTATGATGGGAAGAAGAATATCTACACTGTTTTAGCGTTGCCTATAGGCAGTGAAAAGGTGAGTAAAAGAGTTGATTGATTAGATATTGGGCTGCCATTTTCACTGCGAATGCCTTTTAGTCTTTAGACAATTCACAACTTGTGGGTAGACAAGAAGATAATGCATTATAAAAATCTAAACAGTTAAGACAGTAAAATATATTTATATGTTATTTCATTAATATAATAATTGATTGATAATAATTGTTTAAATTAATGTAATAATTGACACTTTTGACTCTTTTGATACTTTTGTTCGTCATTTTATAAAGCTTTTTGTTTTTGAGAAAACCTGTGACTGAACTGTAAATCATGCTTTTTACGGTCATTTTAATATGTTACCATAGGCATTGCAATACCCCGCTCATATGTAGAGCCCGATCGATATGGGTTTTTTGGGGCCGATACCGATATTAGGGAGTAAAAAACGGGCTCTACTTATATGGTATTCATTTTATTTGTGCAGGTCTTAATAATACTTAAACTTGAGCTTAAAAATCCTGCAGATACCCTGTAAATCAATACATAAAGATTTTTTTCAGACTGTCATTTCATATGTCAGGCTTTACAGGGTTAAGAGGTGAATATCTTGATTATTTTATGTGCTTTTATTTGACTATTAAATTTCCCATTCATTCCTGTCATTCAGTTTGATTTCGATTAGTTTTGATTCTTTTCTGTGAATCAGTTCAAACGGTCTGTTTCAGTGATTCAGTTCTAAATGATTCGTTTCAGAGCAACATCATGTGTTTTTTCTGTAACATCCCCTAGCCCTAATTCTGGGCCTCTCATCTGATGTTGCAGGTTGACTTCGAGGTGACCATCCCCGGCGAGGGGAAGGATCGCATCTTTAAAGTGTCCATTCACTGGCTGGCCAAATTGTCGTGGCGGCTGCTGCAGGAGACGCTGGTCAGCGGACGTCTGCAGGTCCCACTGGACTCTGTCCAAGCCCTCGATGTGGCCATGAGACACCTGGCCTCCATGAGGTACGCTGGTCACGGACTTACAGGTCACAGACAAACATTAGGGGTTTAAAGGGATAGTTCACCCAAAAATGAAAATTACCCCATGATTTACTCACCCTCAAGCCATCCTAGGTGTATATGACTTTCTTCTTTTAGACGAATCTAATCGGAGTTATATTAAAAAAATATCCTGGCTCTTCCAAGCTTTATAATGGCAGTGAATGGGTGTTTCTTGACAGTAGTCCAAAAGAACTCTGATTGCATTCGTCTGAAAGAAGAATGTCATAGACACCTAGGATGCCTTGAGGGTGAGTAAATCATGGGGTAATTTTCATTTTTGGGTGAACTATTCCTTTAACGATTTACTCGTTTTCTCAATGCATCAATTACAATTACACTTAAAACAGTGTTATCTTAGTATCATTGAGATACTTTTACATTTGAATTAACATTTTGATTAACTTAATTTTTCTTTTGCATATTTTATTTCTTCTGTTTTCATTTTAATATTAATGTTTTAGTAATTTTGTGTATATCCATATATATAAATGTGTATTAATTTGATTTCCATTTTAGTTTATTTTAGTACAGCTTAAACTAAATGAAAATGAGACATGTTGCCTAGCTAGCTGAAATAAAGCAAGTGTGAGTTTTTTAAATTTTATTTTAAATTTTTTCAAGTAACAAAAAATGTTTTAGTTGACCACAATAAACAGTTATTTCGGTCAAGAAAAAAAATTTTTTGCTAAAAATTGCATGAATTGTGATTAAGTAAAGTGTTGGTAAAAATGTATAATATAAATGTATTAAATTACTTAGATGCGCAAATTATTGCAGATGGTGTGACGTTGCAATTTTATTATTGTTATCATTGTTTATCATTGTTATTTCTAGACCAAGAAAACGCATGGAAATTAATAAAATTTTGTAAAAAAAAACAAAAAAGTAATATTTTATTGGCACATTGTTATATTCCAAGTAAGTTCATTGGTGCAGTAAACATTCCTTATTAGTTTGTCTTTTTCTTTTATTACCTAAGACACATTAGGAGAAGCATGTACATAATCCTATGAACGCACTTAAAGGTGGGGGTAAGTGATTTCTGGTAGCCAATGTTGACATTTAAAATCACCAAAACAAACACGCCCCTACCCCAAAAGGGTCTCGCCCCTATTTTGATAGCTCCGCCCCACACATACGTACGCAACCCAGGCAACGATTAGTTCTGTGAAACAAAGCAAAACCAGTGTTACTCACCTAAAGAGAAGAAACAAAGCAACCGGCTAATGTCCATTCTGTGCACTGAACGCTCTCTCCTCCACATCATGAGTAGACACGCCCCTTACTGCTGATTGGCTACAAGTTTGTTTTATTAGTCGGCCCGAATCAGTTTTCTAAAGCGTTTTTGAAAAATCGCTTACCCCACCTTTAATACAGAATCACATCATTATTTGAAAATGAATCAGATTGAATCAAATCATTTGGAATTTGCTCAAATCGTTCCCGAGTCTAATCAAATTCAAACCCTAGTAAACATGCGTTGGTTTTTATTTTTCTGGCTTTTATGCTTTACTCTGCTAACTATTGTGTCCATCTCATCTGCAGGTACACTCCAGTGGGACGCTCCTTCTTCTCCCCTCCTGAAGGCTACTACCATCCTCTGGGTGGAGGCAGAGAGGTGTGGTTCGGCTTCCATCAGTCTGTTCGGCCGGCCATGTGGAAGATGATGCTCAACATTGATGGTATGACAGACGTCTTTTATCTCTTAATTGCTCATTGTGCTTAAATGCATGCTGTATACATTCAAACTCTCCATTTCCGCTGCTCTCAGTATCTGCAACAGCCTTTTATAAAGCTCAGCCTGTCATTGAGTTCATGTGTGAAGTTCTGGACATCCGTAACATTGACGAGCAGCCGAAGACGCTTACCGACTCGCAGAGGGTCCGTTTCACCATATATATATATATATAAATATACACATTAAAACTCTCAATTTCTACTGTTCTCAGTATCTGCAACAGCCTTTTATAAAGCTCAGCCTGTCATTGAGTTCATGTGTGAAGTTCTGGACATCCGTAACATTGACGAGCAGCCGAAGACGCTTACCGACTCGCAGAGGGTCCGTTTCACCAAGGAGATCAAAGGTGGGTTTCTGAACACCTTAGCAACATTCTAACAATCTAAACAAAATACACTGGCAACCACTACTAAGAACACCTTTAGGAACTGCATAGTAACAGCTTGACAACCATTTGAAAATGTAAATTTTTGCCAAATTTGGCTATTTTATAGGGGGTTAATCAGTACTCAAAAATGACGGTTCGGGTATGTAACCAAGTTTTGAAATCACGCTTTGGTATGATTTTGGCACAACGGAGAAAAACAAAACATTAAAATAGCTTCTTTTTTATTAAATAGTGGTTTACTGAACAAACTATGATTCTGTATTTTAAATAAAAAAAGGTCCATATTTTGTATCAATATTGTTTCAACCGGCGTCAGCACTCTTATTGTACTGCAGTTTATGGTTCTGTTGTAAATAGGGGAATAGATTTGAAATTCTGCCACCTTTGGATGCCAAATATTTTAGCAAAATATATATTATATTTTTATAATATTTTTTCATCCATGTTTTAATTTAGTTCTGTTGTGCAGCATCTTATTATTATTTTTTGTACATTTTTTTTTTACATTTATTTTGTAAATGTTATTTATTTCTTTTTAATTTGAATACATTTTAAGATTGATTAAATTGTCAAAGTTGTATTAATTCATTTCATTAGACACAATTTTTGTTGATACATTTCTATTAAATCATAAAAAACAGAATCCAGAAAAAATAAAATGCAAAACACAGAATTTAGGGGAAAATAAAACCTACATTTAAAGGCAGCTACTTTTTAATTGTGAACAAACAAATCATGTTTGCATTCATTCTCAAGGTCTACCAAACATGTGGAAATCATTTCCTTCCCCATTAGTGGTAAATTAATATTGTGATAAATATCAATATTGTGTGAAATGGAAAAAAAATAAAGTGATAATATTTTTGACCATATCATCCAGCCCTATTTGGATGTGTTAAGTTTTGCACATGCAGTGGTTAAAACAACACTGCATTCATTCACTACACATGCATTCTGAACAGAAAACAGAAAATTTCATTCCGAATATGTGTTCATTACACTAGTTTGAGATGAAGTATCAGGTGAAGTCACTGGATGATCTCAGCGTCCTGCCACGGCTTTGTCTTCTAATTTATTTGTTGAAGTGGCTTGGATGAGTCATTTTGATATCATGCTTTTACACAGACATCGATTTAAAAATCTAATGATGCAATCCTGAATCCTGAAAACCATCTTCATACATTCCAAGAGGAATTATTGTGGATCCTGCATTTCATTTTAGTCTTAGACTGAAGATTGTAATTGCTGCTGTGGCTGGAAGTGGCGCCCAGTTTATTTAGTTAATGGAACACTCCACTATTTTTGAAAATAGGCTCATTTTCCAACTCCCCTAGAGTTAAACAGTTGTCCCCAGCTAAGTATCAATATCGAAATATATATATATATATCAATATCGAAAAATATCGAAACTCTTTGGTCATTTTTGAGCGAGATGCTAACGGTCTAATCAGATTCAATGATCTATGCTAAGCTAAGCTAAAATTGCTACCGCCAGACCCGGAGATCGGCAACACACCTACCTGCCCCTGGAGGTCAGTGCTGTCATCCGTACGCTTTGAACGGCCATAGACGACATTCTCTGTTCTGATATGGTTTGCTGTTCTCGTAGGTGTGTAATATTGTAGCAGGGCAGCGGTGCATCAAGAAACTGACAGATAATCAAACCTCCACCATGATCAAAGCCACAGCGCGATCAGCACCAGACAGACAGGAGGAGATCAGCAGACTGGTGAGTGCTGACCTCTAGTGTGCTCTAGCTTTACATAGAGTGAGCGCTGGCTAGTGCATTGTTGTCATGGTTACATAGGCAGGGTATTTTTTTACCTGTAGGATAATATAGTGTTGGAAAATACAGCAAAAAGAAAGAAAGAAATATTTGTTTTTTGAGCCTTTTGATGATATCTCAATAGTTGCATTAAATGCATTAAATGGCTTCAAGTTTTTCAATCAAAAGAATCATAATTTCACACACACACACACACACACACACACACATATATATATATATATTTATAATTTAATATATTTATATTAATATACATTATTTTTAATTATTTAATTTACATCTCAGTATTTATGCATTTGCTATTAAATGGCTTGCTATTACAATTTTCAATCAAAGGAACCGTCATTTCAACCAAAGCCATTGTTGCCAACCAGCAATGTTTGAGATTTGTAACATTTGAATTTATCTCAATATTTATGCATTTGCTATTAAATGCCTTAAAAGATCCGTCATTTCAACCAAAGTCATTGAGACCAAGTAGATCAACAAGATACATCTTCACAACATTTGTAATTTGTAACATTTGTCACATAAAAAAAAAAATCACAATATTTGTGAAAATGTCAACATTTTTAAAATTATTTTTCTGCCTTTTGATGATATTTGATATACATCTCAATATTTATGCATATTAATAAATCTCAATATTTATGCATTTTTGTATTAAATGACTTATATATATATTTAAAAATAAAAATAAAAGTAATCATCATTTCAACCAAAGCCATTGTTGCCAAGTAGATCAACAAGATCCGTGTTAACAAAATTGGTAATTTGAAACATTTGAAAAAATGGTAACATTTGAAAATCAAAACATTTGTAAATTAAAGAAAACTGCATCTTTTGAAAGAATACTCTGGATTAAATGTAAATTTATCTGCATCTTAAATATATATATATATATTTATATCAGCTCCCTACATACTATCAGCATCAGTGTTAACCATTGAAAAACCAACATTTAGATTCATTTGCTTTGTATTTTATGATATAGTGCCAAGATATACTGTCAAACGTATCAAGTAAATAAAGACTTTTCCAGAAATTGCTACTTTTACTTTAAATGCACATATTTGGTCTTATTGTTTACAGTTCATCAGTGTACGTTATTCCGAGAAAAAAAAAAAAGCTCTTTTGCGAAAATGCAATGAAATTACTTTCCTTTTCTAACATCGTAAAGCCATTTGTTTGGCTTTACGTTTACGTAAGCCATTTGTTTGGCACACAATTTTCAAGCGACAGCTGAAAACTCATTTCTTTAAACGCTACTTGACTTCATCTTAAAAAAAAAAAAGTCTCTCTTTATTTATTCCTTCCCTTTTCTAGCTTGTACTTATTTGAACAATGCCTAAAACTTGGTATTTCAACCACTTCCTGTGTCTGTTTGCCTCTTTAAGAAGAATCGCTTTATGTATTCCCCAACTGTAAGTCGCTTTGGATAAAAGCGTCGGCAAAATGACTAAATGTAAATTTGTGAGATGTGATGCCCAATTTTCAAATCAATTCCTATAAAATGAAGATAACTTTGTTTCTCATCTCCACCATCCTGTTTGAGTCAGTAATGAATCACATTACGGAAGTAAAATGGGCTGTGAATGCTTAACTATGTTTTTTTTTTTTTTACTGCTCAGATGAAGAATGCTGACTTTAATCTGGATCCCTACATTCAAGAGTTTGGAATCAAGGTGAAGGACGACATGGCCGAGGTGACGGGGAGAGTCCTTCCCGCTCCCATCCTGCAGTACGGCGGTCGGGTGAGATCTGTTTTACTGTATCTGAAGCTCAAACAAGTCCTGTTCTACCTCCTGTTCTTGTTGCTCAAACAGTAGATCATAACGCTTTCAACGCTACGGTTATGGGTTCGATTCCCGGGGAATGCATGAACAAGGTTTAGAATATATATATATATATTTGTTTTCATGTTTTAAAACAGCGGTGTCAAACTCAGTTCCTGGAGCGCCGGAGCCCTGTAGAGTTTTGTTCCAGCTCTGCTCCAACACACAAACCATGTAGTTTTCAAATAAGCCTGAAGGACTTGATTAGTTGGATCAGGTGTGTTTAATTAGGGTTGAATCTAAACTCTGCAGGGCTCCGGCCCTCCAGGAATTGAGTTTGACATCCCTGTTTTAAGGGTGCTTTCACACTTGGTTCGCTTGCTTGGTCCGAACCCGAGTTCGATTGCTCTCCCCTCCCCCTGCCCCCGCTGGACTGCGTTCATATTATTATTATTTGGGTCCGAACAG